AGAAACTTTTATTGGCTAAGCAAGACACAAAGGCAGATTGACTAAAAGTCTAACCCCATTTAAACAGAATGAGATCGATTTGGCTACTGGGAAAAAAGAAATAAAGGTGCCGCTAACAAAGGAAGGTAGTGCAACATAAAGCACAAAGATGAGTACAAAATATAAAGCACAAACACAAAAATCAAAAACCCACTTCAACATCTTGTAGAGGATTAATGGAGAAAACAAAAAACAAAACAAACAAACAAACAACAACAACAAAACCTGAGGAAAAGAGAAGGAAGTACAAGATGAATAGATGACATCAGAATGAGCCAGACTTTGGCTTTCTGGTCATCTTCACCTTCTTCTTTCTATGCACCCTCTACCATCCCAATCAGTAAATTACTCTTCTCAATGTACATTTAGTTTAGAAAGTGCAAGCTGATTTCAAGAAGCATTTGACTGAAGGGAAGAGAAAGTTTGAGCTAATAGCCATGCCCACTAATGAGGGATGGGACTACACCTGTCACGAACTAGCAATCAGACCCTTGGCACAAACATTACAGAGCCTCGTGTGTTTTTCCCTCAACCTTAGATAAGTGACCAGCGTTAGCTACAAGACTACAACTAACAATTTGTCTTAAGGAAAATGCCAAGAAGTTTCTGTCCACCTGAGCTAAGCGGCATCTTCTTTCATAGCTTCCTCAACCTAGGCATTCAAGTAGTAAAGGGGGCAAAGCAGTTCTACTGGGCAAATTTCTGAAAACTTGGAAACCATAGAGATGCACACTACTTTCAAATGGTAACATTTACAGTTTTCATTCTCAAACTCCATGGGAGTTTCTTCCTGATGCTCTCCCCAGTACCCATTTCATCTTTGCTCCAAGCCCAGTGTCAGATAATTTGTGAGAGCTCCACTTTCTTCATTCGCAATACAAATGAAGAGTTTGAATCACGTTCTGTCTTAAGGGTTCTTCATAAGTTAACCTTTGATGTCAGGCTGAAAAGCTTGTTTGAGGTCATGTTGAGAAAGGACTTGACTGCTTTGAACTAAGAAGTTTGGTCTTCAGCGGTGCCTGGATGGCTCAGTCGGTTGAGTGTTTGACTTCAGCTCAGGTCATGATCTCACTGTCCATGAGTTTGAGCCCTGCATCAGGCTCTGTGCAGACAGTTCGGAACCTGGAGCCTGCTTCTGATTTTGTGTCTCCCTCTCTCTCTGCCCTTCCCCTACTCACATTGTCTCTCTCTCCTTCAAAAATAAATAAATATTAAAAAAATTTAAAAAAGAAGTTTGGTTTCCAGACTATAGGTTAAGAAACTTAAGTACATGTTCTTTAGCAGAATCTTCAGCTTCAAATCCTTCCCAGATCTCTTACTAACAAATATGTGATTTGAAAGCGTATTATATCTTCTAACTTGTTTTATTTTGTAAAATAAATGGGAAAAATCACAGTTAAATGAAGCATTTCAAAAAATTTTAAATATAATAAAAGAGCTACTGAGCTTTTCAAAGAATAAAATGGCTAGGGCATTGGCGGTGGCAGTGCTCTGCTTAATAGAATGGTTGATGTAGGCATCTTCTAAGGCAGCAAATCTATTATCACTAACAAATGACACAACAGAAACTCCATGGGAAAAAATAACAATACAACCAAAAGTTATAACTATGGCAAATAATGTAGCAGATTATTCATTTGTTTTAATAATAGGTAACATTTACTGAACACTTACCATGCATAATTTTTTAAAATGTGAACTTAGATACCTGAAATCAGGTAATCTTGAGACCCAAGAGCTATTTTTCAGCTCAGCTATTGCCCACTCCTGTTGCTTAATTCTTCTCTAATTTAACTTGCTAATTAAGGGAACATGTGCCCTTAAGTGTGTGTGTGTGTGTGTGTGTGTGTGTGTGCTCTCTACACATATATACACATATATACATATATATAAAATAGTTCTATACCTACACATGTATCAGTTGGGATCATGTAAACTTGCAAATAACATAAAACCATAATAGCTTTAGAAATATATGCTATGTAGTTGCCTGTATTATTTTAGCTGCTCATTGAAGCCATCAGGGGTCCAGGTTGTTTCTAACTTCTACTCCAGTATCCTTAGCATGTTGGATTTTTCCCTTATGCATGTCATATCCCTTTATGGCTGCTTCATCTTAGAGAGCTGGTCTAGTTCAGTTAATAAAGAAATACTCTCCTTCTATGTTAGGTCTCAATGGCCAGAACACAGCTTCTGGAAGTTGAAAGGGCAGCCAGGAAAGTGAGGAACTAAGTCATATGACTATTTCAGACTACTGTGATCCATGTCCTAAAGCTGAGCATACTTGGGCCTGAAACTAAGTCAGTATTCTTAATTAAAAAGAAAAAAAAAAAAAAGAAAAGAAAAAGAACAAAGGAAAGAATACTGGGTAGGCAAGTAGCAGAAGTTCCCATAATAAGGATAAATAAAATTTTTTTACTTGAAAGATGTGATGAAAAATTATGAAGAACAATAAAGTATTTGTGAAATATGAGGCAAGAGAAATCCTTCCAAAATAATTGTCATCATTTATGTCTTTCATTTTAATTAATGGAAGAAATTTTATATTAATTCTCAGAAGCTTCAGCAGATCCTTCCATGGGGGGAAAAAGTCACTGAATGAATAGACAGCTTTTTGTTGTTGTTTTCTTACAGAAGTTAATTTTTGAGAGGGTGAATGTAGCATATTTGCAGTAGAAAAATGGTTTAAACTAATAATTTGTTTTCAGGGAAAAGAATCATCTTGGACTACAAAATGTGAGCTTATCCATGTAACATTAGGTGAGTGATTCTAGCTCACTTTAGTGGACAGACTGCATCTGTTGTTCTATAGTTAGCATTTTCTCCGGCTGCTAGAAAGCATCTCATCACTTGGCATGTCCCACATATTCGACAGAAAGAAAAAGAGAAGAAAGCCGGAGTGCAGTTGTTGAAGGACCTGTGTACTTAGAACTCTGTGGAAATGACAGCTGAAAACAGGCAGGCATGATGCTGGCTCTGTGGCTGTAATGATTTAGCGGCAAGGGTAGGCATGATCTGTTGACCAGAAAAGTCCGAAGGAGAAAAACAGCATTTCAGGCTCTCTAATAATTAACTACTTCAGAGGGATGTCAGGAAGTCCAAGACCCATGGAAATGCAGGACATTTGGAGGTATACATAATAGGCAATCGTAGATAAGTGTTAGTTTTAAGTGACTCTCATATTTGACTGCTTTGCTTCTTTGACCAAAGAAATTGTTTTGAATTTGGAAAATTAGATGTACAAGCATTCTGGATGTAGTGTTTATGTGCACTCAATAAGCAATATGTTTGCCTTGGATATCATTTGCTTTCTGATATTATATTATATTGTGTGGAAAAAACTAGATTGCAATTATTTGCTCAAATATATGAGAAACAGTGTTTGGAGAGGAAAAATTTTGATAGTCAATTCAGTTAAAAATATTATTTCTTATGGCATCTTACTGAGGCTGTGCCAATAGCATAGACAGCAACTGAAACAATGGATTCAGAAACTTCAGAAATGTTGTGATATGTAGTTTGCAAATACATTAACTACTGTTTGCATAAAAGGTGTTTGTGTTGCATATATGCACACCCACATAATGCTATTTTACATGGTCATGGTGGTGCAAATAGATTGATGAATTGTAATTTGGGAATTCAAAAAGACAAAGAGAATATGATTTATGTGACTCTTACAGATTTCCTATTCTATCTTTAATTTTTTGTCCTGGTTCAATTATCTAATATGCTTGAAAAGATAACCATTTCAGGAAGGATTATTTATATTTTTATAGGTATTTTGACTTATAATTTATTCTTTTAAATAGAATAAGAAGGGCCTTGGATAAATCTTCATAATTTTGCATAATTATCTTTAAATATGAAGTTAGTCTTTGGTAGATCCACAGAGTACCTTTTATTGCCTAGGGCTCAGTTTATTTTTCACTACATTATAATGGCAAATAGGCTTAAAATCATTTCTGGGATAATAATAATAATAATAATAATAATAATAATAATAATAATAAAACAAGTATAATAATAAAAGAAAAATTACCTAAAATTTTTCAAACCTTGTCCCAGGTTAAAAATATCTGCACATAGAAAATTACTTGAAGGGGCACCTGGGTAGCTCAATCAGTTATGTGTCTGACTCTTGGTTTTGGCTCAGGTCATGATCTCACAGTTCATGAGATCAAGTCCCATACCAGGCTCAGCACTGCTGGGATCCTCTCTCTCTCTGCCCCTCCTGTACATGCTCTCTCTCTCTCTCTCTCTCTCTCTCTCTCTCTCTCTCTCTTTCTCTCTCTCTCTCTTTCTCTCTCTCTCTCTATCTCTCAAATTAAATAAATAAACTTAAAAAATAATTAAAATAACATTAACTCATACACACACACTTTAAAAAATTATTTTGATTTATTATATAAAGGGAATGAAACATTAATATTTGTGTAGGTTTTATTCTTTTAACTTTTCAAATTACTGTATCTAAATCCATAGTAACTTTGAATAACTTAAACATCTTCTCAAACCTTGAAGACATACTAAGTGAAATAAGACAGTAACTAAAGGGAAAATATTATATGGCTCCACTTATATCATATACCTAGAGCAGTCACATTCATGGAGATGGAAAGTAGAATGGTGCCTACCAGAGCCTAGGAGGAAAGGGACAATGGAGGTAGTGGGTGGGTGTCTTTTTTGTCAGCAGTGCTATGAGATATACTGTGACATTAGTTCAGGAGTAACACATAACTTTTGACATAATACAGACTTCATTCTAAATGAAAAATAATTTAAAGAATGCCTTGTAAAATGCTGAGCACAGACCTGACAATTATCTCAGTAAATCTTATCTTTTATTATTATGCAGATAAATGTTTAAATGGGTTCATGAGTATATTTAAGACAGAATCAAATTACATACTTAAAACTTATTTTCCAGCATCCTTCATTAAGAAACTTTATCATTCTAGGAGGAATTGTTGATAAGGATCTTCGTCACTACCTCAACTTACGATTTCAGAAGGGTTCTGTGGATCACGAACTTCAGCAAATCATTCGTGACAACCTCTACCTCCGCACAGTGCCGTGTGAGTACAACAGACAACATTATTGTCTTTCTATGTTAAAAGATAAGTGTTCACCTATATGTCTATTATTTAAAAGAAAAGTTAAATTGCACTAATTTTTTATGGTGGACTTTGGGACAAAATTGATTTGAGATATGGATTTTTTTTGAGATATGGAATTTTTAAGTGAAAAAAATTTAACTACCATTGTGTGGTTTGTGATGATGTTGTAGCCAGATGAAACTTGCAGTTGTCAAGCTACAAAGCCTGTCTTACTTCTTAAATTAGTTTTGATAAATATGAACTCTAGTGCAGGATGTTGATGATTTAGAATGAATCATGATTGGGGTAGAACTCCACACTGCGAAACAGGAGAATGAAAATTAAATTTATTAGCTGAAACAGCTATTTTGTAAATAGAATCTACCCAGTAACTCCCAGCCTCATCTCTGGTTTGCAGCAGGGGATCCTCACAAGTGAAAAGAAACTCATGCATTGAAAAGTAAAGCTAAATGTCTGTAACTCTTAGAAAGTGATAATGTTGAGTGTGGGGTACAAATGTCTCATATGCAACCTATAGAAATCCACAGAACAACAATCTCTGATTATGAGCAGGTGCTACTTCAAAAGAGAGGACCCAGTCAAATGATAAAATTCACACATCAACTTTTTAGTACCTGTCAGCTTATTTAAGAATCTTGTATTAACTGTAGGACAATTCAAGGACTTTTCAAGTCAGGTCCTAGATCCTAGGTAGATATCAAAATCCATTTCCTTCAAGTCCCATGATCCTCAGAGACTTCCCAATCTCTCCAGAAACTCTGTGTTGTGTGTATTTCTTTTGTTTTAGCACTGCTCTGAATTTTAATAAACTCAAAGCTATGGGCTCTGGAAAATTGACATTAAAGACAGAAAAACTTGGCTATATATATATATATATATATATATATATATATATATATATATATATGGGGTGTCTTGAACTACCAGAACTATGCAAAAGGCATAGGTCATGGATTATTATACTGAACTGTTGAAAACACACAGAGAAGTGAAATGGATAATTCAGCACCCAACCCTTTTACCTACGCACATCTTAGGAGGGGTAGACTTTTGCCATTGTTAACACCAAATACCATCAAAACAAAAATGCCAGGGCACCACTATCACATATTCTTAAATGAGAATGCTTACTGATTGACATCTTTTCAGTCCAAATGCTACCCCTGTCAGTTTGTGTTAGTGAAGTGAATAGACTTTTGGGCTCTTGCTTTGAAACTAGAAGTTGAGAAAAGTGCATTCTTAAACTTGTAAGTTTGACATTAGAGTGATGGCCAGAGGAAGATGGATTAAAGTAAGTGACTGAACTATTTATAAGGTAACGGGTGGACGCATTTTCAAAGCTGTGATGTTGTCAGTGCAGCCATGTGCATTTATCTTTTGTGACATGAAAGAAAGGAGATCTGAAATACTGAATAAAGAATCCGGGCACTTTATTATGTTTAAAAGCTGAGAGAAATAGATAAGAGGCTGACATTCAGGAATACTTGTAGTCCTTGATAAGGCGATGACATAAATAAGAAGTCTTAATTAAATATGTAGATAATAGGGATAAATTTTGCATTAGTTAATTAACTTCTTAAATAAGTCATCTCTCTTTAGAGTGCAAAAGAAATACTATGAAGGAAAAATAAATATAAGGGTAAAATAACTAGGCTTATATGAGTAAACATAAAGAGTTTCATGATGTGATTTCAGTACAAGGTCATAAATTCAATTAGAATTCCTTGAATAGCTCTTATAAAGGAGATGATTAGAAATTCAATGAATCTGAATATTATAATCAAACAATTATTCTTTGAATTTGTAGCCACTACTCCTAATAGCCAGTTGGAGTAATACCATTCATTAAGGATGCTCTTAACTTGGCATAAAAGTGAAAAAAACATCTAAGATAGTGATGAGTCTGACTTATATTATCTCTAATTACTTTTATACTGATGTACTGGACCTACACAATCTACCATCTTCACCAGTATATCTTTTAATAAAATGTTCAGACATATTCAAAGAATATGCAGCAAAAATGTGTCAGTCATGTAAAAAGTCCTGGCTTTGTTTGGAATCTTACATGTGTGTCCAGCATATCTACTGGTCTTGGCTACAGAGTGATGTTTGTAACATATTTTCTTTGGTCAAAAAATTCTCATTGGTTTTCATATACCCAGTACCATAAAAGGAATAGATGTTACTGAAGAGTATGTCACTGCTCTTACAAATGCATGCATTAATACGTGTGCCTCTTGTGTGGTCGATAAATGGCTCCAAGAATAGGTCCTGGATAACTCCATGAAAAAACAAATTGTAGTGCATTGTAACTATGTGAGGGTGGCTTAACTATTTTTATAAGGCAAGACCCAACTGAATAATTCTGCTAACTCCACCGCCAGTAACTATGACTAGGAGGAAAGGAACAGTCTTGGCACTGGATTTCCTTGGTGTCTAGTGAATAAGAAGATTCTGGGTGAGAGCTCCAGAGACACTCTCCCCTCACAAACCCCCATATACCCAGCCAAATTCAGTTGTGGCCAACTTGGCTCCTGTACCCCTCTCTGGAAGGGAATATGGGCCCAGCTTCTGGTTGATTTCCAAGCTAAGTGAGGGAGGGAGGTGGTTAGTCTAGCTCTTTATGGACCTTAACTGTAAATAATATAAAATCTCATCAGTCTGTTCCCTGCCCCATAAACAAAGTTGACTGCATTTAGGCTTTTCATTTGTCCAGAACCGTATCTCAGGGCCTGATTTTTCAAAAATATATTTTTTGAAGCTGTGTCTCTAGTCTTGAAAGGCAGGGCTTGGTCACAGAGACAGTATTGTTGGGCATATAATGAACATGAGCATACACACTTCTGTGAATGCACACAGAAGCTCCCATGAGATCAGTTCATCCTTCTTTGAAAATGAATCAGGGAGAAAAGATCCTTAGGAACTAATTCTTGATATTTTCTCTAAAACATAAACCATCACATGATTTGCATATTAAAGACCTCAATTTGTACCTAAATATGTGTCTTTTCATCGCTAGTTGTATGATTTATGGGGAGTAAAAGTCTTAAGAGGATCCTGGTGTCCTAAAATGAAAGTTGATTTTTAAAAACTAAATACTGTAGATGAATCTTTCTACCATTAGATTTCAGGCTAGATAGGATTTTTATGTAAGGGAACTTCAGGAGACATGAGTAAATAATCATGAGACAAAACTGTTGTAATTTGGAATGTGATAAAGACTAACCAGGAAAAATGTATACACATAAAGGACTTGGAAAAGTTCAGAACATACATCAAATGGGATTTCAGTTACTTTAATACAATACAAAGGACAATTTCAGAAGCACTAAGTCAGTAGCATCTATTTAGAGATTAGCAAGATTATTTAATTGTATCATGGTAAATGTGCAGTTAAGGCAGCATGGCTTGTTGTTTGGATAATATAGGTTCAAACATATATGAGGGAGTTTAATGGAATTAATACAGAAAAACATTGGATTAATTTTCAAGTGTTTAAACACTTAAAAATGGAGTTTATTTTTGTTTTAGTATTCTACTGTGCGTAAAGATTGCATATAGTTAACTCTTGAGTCTAATCAACCATGGTTAAATTGACTATGCTTCCTAACCATGAGGAAAAAAGATATAACCATTTTCATTTATTGATGAAATGCTGGTCTTCTCTATCCAGTATTTATTAGAGACACAAATTAATTTTCAAGGCATTTATGAGCACAGATATAAATTCCAGATACTTTTTTTTCACCATTATACCAGATGCCATGAAGGAGAACTTCAATGACCAATTTTTAAAGTTTCAAAATGAAATGGAAGGTAGTTAAAATTAAACTTCTCTCTCAAGTTCATACTTTGTCATTTGGTGAGATGGTCTTATTAGGAATTATTTTAAATGTATTTGAAGCCAAAAGAAATACCAGTGTATACCAAGTAAAAGACGAAAATCAATAAAACCAAATATCTAAAACTAGTCCATAAAAAGTGAATAAAATTAAAAACATAGTTTTAAGATATGAAAAAAATTACTTTTATGGAAGAGCTGATTGGGGTGTAACTCACAATGATGTTTCTACATATTTAAGCACCAAGTTAGTACAAACTAAGTCATGTTAAAAAGAAGCAATATCAAGAATAAACTTATAAGATTACTAATATATATTTTAAAATTTTTTCTGTTATGTTAAATTATATTTCATGGAGAAGCAAATAGAAACGGGCTCTTTAAAAATTATGGAATCGGTTTCCCTTTAAGAAAAGCAGTTACCAACACACCAAAAGGTGTAGCTATGCAAAGGGATCAATATCCCTTTCCCCTAATTATATTAGACTATAGTCAGAGAGGACTATAGAAGAGAAGCTGGTGATTACATATGTATTAAAAAGTCTGAAATTAAAAAAAAGTCTGAAATTAGGGCAGAACTTTCTAGTATACTGCATGGGGGAATATGATTTTAATTCTTAAGCGCACATCAGTACTTTTAAAGCTTATATGGTATTTTTTTTAATATTCAACAAGGCAGTATGTTTTTGTGGGCATGAATTAATCTTTCTAGTTATTTGTAATTTTCATCATGAAGGTGTAGTTCTAAGCATGTGCTAAGAAAGGATGGTGACATCAACCTGTGTCACCGTTATATTACTAAAAAAAGAAAACAAAAATTCCAATGACTTGAAATTCTGTGAGTTGAAGTGATCAAGAACATAATTAAGGACTCCAAATATCTTTAAACACTGTAGACTCATGGACTACAATAGTAGGTTGAATTACAGGTAGATATGCAGGCATAGAAATAGAGATATCAGATCCAACTAAATTTTAAGCCAACATATTGCAACCAATGTAGATTATATATCTGTTTCAACCTTAGCCTTATTACTTCAAATTAAGAATCACCAATTTAGAAGCTCCTTTTAATGTTGCTTTTAGTGTATGAATCATGTTCTTTTGCAATTAT